TCAATATACACATAATATATTCCCATGCTTCTCTAATCAGTCAACCCACATCATCAAATCACAATTTACTAACATGGGGAATTAATTTCTTCTTAGGAGGATTGAATAATAAACCAACAATAAATCATCAATTCAATCATAATACGTCATAAACCAACCATTGAAAATATTTTATTATGGACCCCATGAATTAAAGTGAAACTCTAACTTAATGGAAAATTATAAGCTTTGAAATCTAGTTTTGAAGGAACTATATAGGTGAAATCTACCAATGTGTTGCGAAATTTTTGTACATTTTATACTTAAAAATGAGGAAATTATACAAGAATTAAGTGTATTTTTGTAGACTTTGATATGATTGTGAATGGTGTAGACAGAATTTTTTGTGTGTAGAATAACTGGAAAATGCAGCTTCAAATGATGATGACTACATAATGTTCACAACCAACTTCAAAGATCATGAAATTCATAATCATTCGTGATTGAGCTGCTGAAATTGAACCAGTGTGAAGGAGTGAGAGATGATTAAAGTGGAATGCACAAGTGAAGATCACTACCGGCTACAAGGTCGGTGGTCCTCATTATGGACCGTGGTTTTGATCGTGATGCTGAATGAACAAAGGGTTAAAATAAGTTGTTAAATGATGGGGCAAAGTGAAATCCGCAGGAACCTTTACCGGACGTGAAGCTCATTACGGACCATGGTACCATTCGTTATGACTAACTAGTGGATGAGCTTCAAATATTTGAAAATTGTATAGGACAAGTAAACACGACGACAAAATTCACGAGGATATGGTCCATAATAAGGGTCTTTTGTCTCACATTGATGCAATATGCAGTGATCTACTTTGAAGAAACTTTTTGCGGAGTTTATCATGGAAGATCACAAAAGGATTCGTCCAAGTAGAACTGTACGAGTTGTAGTCGTGGTCATATAGACACCCAAAATTTTAGGGTTTTTGAATTACTTTAGGGAGTTTTTGAAAACTATTAAGTATAGTATGTTTTAAAAGGAGAATACCACATCATTCTGCATTTTTGGATTTTTAATTTGAAAGATTATTATCAGTCAAGCACAAATTTGGATTATCAAATTATCAAATTAATTACTGAATTGTTAATGATTTTCGTAAGTCTTTCTCAATATATTTTCATTCATAATTATTTGTTTTTGCATGAAATCATGAGTTTCTAAATACCACGACTGTACTTGATGAATCCATGGTTAAATTCTTGTTGTGATTTCGTAAAATGAGTAAAAGGTAGTCTATTTTTACAATTTGTAGTTTTTTGCTTTCAATATCGTTATAATGTATTGTGTGCATTTTTTAGATTATCTTGTTTCAAGTATTTGTTCAAGATCAATATACCAGTTAGGAAATCTGAACTAAATTTACAAAATGGAGTTCAATACTAGGTGAATATAGCCATAGTTCATACTTTAGGGTTCAATTCAATCAAGACCAATCCCAGTTTATCAAACCTTGTTTAATTCATGCTTGTATGGTTCAATAATGATCAATTTATATAAAATGTAATTAAGATAAGAATAATCAAAACAAAACCTTTATCAAGTCTCTAATGGCCTAAGATCTCTATGATCACCCTCAAACTCAATTATCATAATTCAACATGAGAAATCCAAAAAAATAGTATATAATAATCATATAAACATCATTGAATTCAAAAAACTAGATTAAGATCACAATCAAGCCTTACCCACAATGCAATCGTAACCTTCCTTGAATGGGGTTCTTTGGATTCACAATTGAGGGGAAACTAGGGGGGCTTCATGTATGTAAGAATCCATTAATGTCAAGTCATTAATAGTATCTTTAATCCTTAAAGAAATCTTCCTAGGATTCTGCTCCCAATTCTTCTTCTTCTCTAATGGTGTTCTTGAGAGTTCTTATGTGACAGAGGGGTTTTGATTTTGAGTCTAGGGTCTAGGAGGGTATTTTATTATTTAAATAGTCATAAAAACCTAAAAATACCTAAAATAATCTCCCATTCATTTATTTGGATGTGAGGTGAATTTCTCAATTCACCCCTCCACTTTACAGTGAGCTACGAGAATTACAGAATCAATTTATAGTTGGCCATCGACAGACTTTTTATTAGACGATGGCCCGTCCTGCACATCCGTCATTTTTGTCATAGAGCCATAGTTTGGGTTCTTACCATAAAAATTTATGTTTCAACCAACACACACTATCGACCGGATGTCGATGATCCTACGGTCCGTTGATGCCCCTCGTTTGTTGGGACTGGTTTTGAAAGCATTTCTCCCAAGTTGGGTCCCTCTTCAAGGAACCTTAGGTGGGTCTTTGGTTACCCTTTAATTGAAGCTTCCACCACAAATATGTCCTTCTATATGTTAGGAACCATCCCTATCAGTTTGGGCTCCAAATTCTACCTGAAACCCCATGAAACATTCCAAGGAATGCTAGCACGTCTCAAGGATAACTTTCAAACGTCACCGGACATTCTTGGACATTTCCCCTCCAAACTCCCTCAACCTGTATCTACCCATATTTGACCCTTTTAGTACCTATTAATATCATGCCACTATATGTAGGCTGTGTTTTGACCTATAGTAAACTTCATACATACCAAATAAGACCTTCATCATTTAGTCAACAAGACCAACATTATGCATAATAGGTAAGACTTCACCCTATATACACAATAGAACTCATAACATACATATTATCAAAAGTCCAAAACAATATAATATCATGAATAAGCAATATAAACATACAAATATAAATATAGAACACCTGCCTAGAACTCCATTCAAGAGCCCCTTGTGCAATCAATAGGTAATATCTCACACCCTCACCTACACTAAGAAACTTCTCTTAGGTCATCCTAGTTAGGGTCCTTTACTTTACTTCAATCGTCAATTTTAGTTTATGAAAACTATAGACTTAATCGATACTACAACCATGGGTGATAAACGCGGAATTTGTTGTTGTAGATCCTTACACCAAAGGAAGGTGCTCTACCCATCCAATAAACAACATTAACAGTATGCCAACATATTAGAAAATATCACTTGATAGATCCTATGGGCCAAATAGAGTTTATGGAACTTGGAGGCATATATGGAAACCCTATTTATGCCAAATGGGGCATTGTAGTTATCCACCTTGTGCGAACTTTGGTATACAAGCCTTCCCAAATTTGAAGGGGCACCGCTAATTTTCAAGTTCACTCCGTGCCAATATAAGATCCTTTTATTGAAAATCTTTTGTTATTTATTACTTTTTATTGTATAGGCTAAAGAGAGTTATGCCCTTATATGCTTAACTCATAGGTCATAGATGAGAGTTTCCTTTCATCAACCTAATTCATGTGAGAAAACCGTTCACATGGAAATAGCATATTCATGCACAATGTAGTTTAGGATACTCTTGAGAACACCTTTCACGAGCCCCTTTATTAACAAGATCATCATACATCCATAATGGACATGTTTTCATATGTGTTTACTTATATGTGAGCAAACTTTTCACCTAAAGACCTTTGACACACACATGTTCATACTTAACTTCATTCATGCATATAAGACATGTTCATCACTTAAGAATTCATTCATATTCATATACATATAGAATAATCTTAGGAACTATTCTATCTAGGAACATGTGTGCAATGCATAGACAGTGTCCCATACCCTTGTCCATTCTTGTACACCCATCAAGTCATCTTGGTTAAGAGATAGGTTAATTCTTCATGTACATGTACTATATAAAACCCCACAACTAAACCCTAGATGTTAGGGAAACCCTTAGGTCGGAACAAGGCGTGCTTGACCTCACAAAGGTCTTGCACAAGACTCTTTTCTATCATTCATTACAAAAAGCAGGAAAAGTTGTGCAGAATTAAAACTTTTAAAAACAATAAGAAGGAACATCTTTTAGAAACTACTAAGGAATAAGTCTCGTCGTGACAAGTCAACTTAAAAACACTACTTACATATCTTAGGGACATGCCCCTTTACATTCGAGGAGAAATACATAACAAGTCTTTACAAGTCTTAATAGAATAAACTAAATGAATAAAGAATATGCTCTCGAATATATGAGGACATACTTAGTGTTGAGAGAGTCATTCACAAGCTTTCCTTCTAGACTTTTAATTTCTTCCAACCTATGCTTATAAGTATAGTGAAGTATAGGGTTAGCATACACATTGTACTAAGTATGGAATATGCAAAAACATGCAAAATGGAACGTCTAAGTAGAAATAAGCTTTTACACTAATTATGTATAACATTCACGAAAATAGAAATAAAATAACACATAAATTATTATTTAGTACATAGGAAACAATTTTTAAGAATTTAACACAAAGAGGCACTTTATAGTGAATTCAAGAGACTTACAATTAACTCATATAAATTCACAGTGAACTCATTTCCCTAGAAGTTTCCCTAACTAAGGTTATCCTAAGACTCACAAAGCTAGACATGAGGGAACCAACCATACACTTCCTTCAAAACACACTTAAGTGATCCTCAAGACTACCCATGATAGGCTTACATCGCACGGATAACAAGTCCACTCTCCCATAACTTAATATTAGAGAAACGTAGCTTGCATCTAGAACATCATAGAAGTACCCTTCCCCAATTCGACTTGTAAGTAACACAAAGTGTAAATTTAGTATAGAATCACATACTACTACTCCCACTTTGTACTACTTGAGGATTCCATGAGGTTAGGTTGTAACATCCGGGTTTTACCCCCTAGATGTAACCGGCGGTTTTGTTCTATTTGAGGACTAAGACTATCCCTTTAGTCTAATGTCATTATATTCATAGGTTGAAAATGCAAAAAACATAAAAGCTTTCATTACATATACTTGGAGGTTTTTCATATACCTCTACAGACACGTAATATATATACGTATCGAGTATATATACACCCTTCATATGAAAAGGTTGCATAGCCTTCTACTTTTATTACATACATATATATAAGATAGAAAGATAGTCTCATAGATTGTCACATCTCATACCAACCAAATGATTATCACAATATAGGCATAAACCTACATCAAATATAAACAAACCACATATAGTCTTATACAAGGCTTATACAATAAAAGTTGAATGAACATAAAAGTCATAGAAAAGCAAAAGAACTTCATAGGAATGATATTGGCGTTGCCCTTGAAATGTGAGAACCGACCCACTTGGATGATAGAGAATATCCAAGACATATTCAAGTCGTCCACCTAATTTTCTTGGGATTGTAGTTCAATCGGTAAGAGCACCGCCCTGTCAAGGCGGAAGCTGCGGGTTCGAGCCCCGTCAGTCCCGACGGATTCAATAAATATATTCATCTCTCCATTATCTCTAAAAGGCATGACCAAAAGAATTGTGTGAAATAAGTGAATTTACCCGAATGAGGCTTTAACAACCTGAACCTAAAATGTATGCGAAAAAGAAAGAAAGTGGGGTTAGTACTCCACATGTCATAAGTACGAGAACATATGCACATATAATAGCAAAACATGGTATAAAGGGACATTTAGTCAAAAAATGTCATTTTACCCTTTTAAAAAGTCTAGTGCAAATTCAAGCAATTCATACCAACCAACCAAAAATTCTTACTAACTCAAAAAAGTATTATTTATCCCGACATACTTGAACCCATGATTTACTACTACACCATCATCAAGGAATAACATAACAAGTATGAGTAAGAGTCAATTATATTACAATAAGCAAGACAACTGCTCATGAATTCTTTACTATGTCAACAAGTGCAATGACCAAGCAAAGCCCAATAAATTTACTCAATCAGGTATCCTCAACAAGAAACAATGTCCTATCTCCAACTCCACATAATATAACATTTAGACATACATTTCATCTAATTTTAACAATACAAATCAACTCATATTCGTAAGTGAACTAATCAACATGCATTATCAACAATGTGTAGAGCTCGTCATGTACATATCATATATCATCATAACATAAACATATATAAGAACATCCTCCTAATACTCCCCTCAAGGCTAACTAGTGCAATGCTTAGGTAGAGTCTCATACCCTACCTAGACTAAGATAGATCCCTTAGGTTATCCAAGTTAGAGTTCAAATCCTTTAATTTATTTTACCTTTTAGGAACATCTTTCCTAACTGACATAGACCACATGAGCTAGTGTGGAATCCAGTGTCATAAAACCGTACATCAAAAGAAGACGGAGTACTTGCCAAGGTAGTACAAACACATTAAATATATCAGCTAAGTGGATCCACTACCTAGTAATACTATGGAGGCAACATAGTTTAAAGAACTAGGACATATAGTTAGGAACCTCTTTATGTGGCATGCATACTCAAGAGTAATGTAGTGTTCCTACCTTTCATATGTGGGAAGGGACACTCCTCAATCTAGTTCACTCGGTGCTAAGCTAGAGTCCCTTTTCTTTAAATGTAATTAAGTTTTTTTTATCAATCATAGCTTCGTTTAGCCCATATGGTGTACCCCTTGTATAATCATCATCATCAATATCTCAATAAGAATTCTATGAGTATAGTCCTTTCATCACAATTCATACAAGTGAGGTCAACGCATAACATTTCATAGCATATCAAGGCACATTCATAGTTATCAGCATCCTTATATCACATAAACCGTAATCAACGTCACAACATAGTCGAGACATTCCAATTCAACATCATACCACCATATCATGCAAACATAAGGCATACTCCTATATAACAGCATGACTTAACCACAACTAATCATAATTGGAAGTAAAGATAGACATTCCAAGACTTACAAAGTATTCCTAATATTTCATTATTTAGGCCTTACCCTAAAACATACATTTAATCAAATTTATATGTTCAACATGATAACATTACTATATGAGTCACTACACTATAATTCAATACCAAATCAATGCTTAAAACAATGTTACTTAGGCCAATATCCATAACCTAGATAATTTCAAAAGATTAGAATGAAAGACCACAATTCATTCCAATTAGTTAAGGATTTTTGTAACAATATCATCTAATAGTGATTTAACCCATAATCAAGATAGTTGAATCAATCACAACCCAATTTACATCAACATCAACCTACGGTTAAGGGTTAAGGATAAAAATATTCAAATTGAACCAAACTATCACAATTGATAATAATCAAGTTCAATTACATGTTAATATATCCATTATATGCTAATGAAATCATAATTAATTTAGTTCACAACATCAATTTCATAATTAAATGAAACCTACATGAAAACACATCTTTTGAAATCCATTTTGAAGGAACCCTTTGAGGAAAGAGTCTCAATATGTAATTAGATCTTATAAAGATGAAGATTTGATGGTGAATTCATCGTTTTCCATCCCCCAAAACATCCCCCTAGCCTGTCTTCAATGGTGGTTTCCAATAGAGAGAGAAAGAAGAGAGAAGGAAGAGAGTTTTCTTTGTGAGTTGTAATTATATTAGTTGTTATTGGGGCCATTGTATGGGAGTTAAATTCGTTAATTAGTTTTTTCTTAATCTCTAAATAACCACTAAGATAATTTATTATTTAAATGACTAAACATTAAAACGTGCGGGAAAATCAAGACCCTCAAAGACGAAATCCCGTCGACGAGTATGTTTAAAGACTTGAGCAGGCACGGGCTTCCTCAAATTAGTTAAGGTGGGAAGACGGTTGAATCTATGCCTCATCAATTGACAAACGGACCGTAACCTTTGTTCTTATAAAGTAATTCACATAAAGGGGTAGAGGAATAGGTTCCATGTTGATTTCACATCCAAACCATAACACCTTACCAAAGAGGTTCCTTAGGGTTGCCTAGAATGTCTAAAAGGGTAGCTCAATGGTTTTCCTAAGGATGATTTCATTTCTTTCAAGTCAACCAACCCTATGTCCACAACACACACAAGAAGGAGATCATATAACTTTCAACTTTAAGGACATCATAAACTTCCAACAAGGTTGATGTTTCCACATAAATAACCTTCTTAAAAATGTTCAAGGTCACATGTCAATCACAAATACATGACTAATAAGATTTACCATTCTAGGTCAAGAAATCATATTCACATTCGACATGTATCATGTATGGGACACAAGCCTAGTAAACCAAGATAGATACATACTTCGCATATAAAATATTATTCAAGAACTACATAGGTATAATGTAATACTTCGAAAGTCTAAAGCCTAATATAGAGAATAAAATGAGATTCTAAGAGTTGTAAAACTATTTTAAAGCCAATTATAATGAATTTAAGTCATTTTGGAAGTTTAAGAATCAAAACATCAAGGAACGTCCATGACGTCTAGCACCTAGTTCAACAGGTGCTGGTGTACCGGAGCCTAGTAGACTAAGTTTTGGCAGTCAATAATGATGAATTTTTTTTTCAAGTGGTGTCACAAATATAAGAGTTATTTTATAGTCGAAACTTCCTTGTAAGACTCCCCAAGGACAAACCAACGTCCCTTGAAGAGGACCCTTGCAATTTGGCAAACTATTGCCAAAAGGCAGTCTTTACCTATAGATTGCAGGCAATGGATTATGGTAGAATCGACGAGGTGCATATTTATACCGTCTATGGTTAATTGTACAAATTCTTGAAGGTGTCGGTTTGAAATTTTTTTACTAAAACTATGAACGTGTGGAACGGTGGCCACACAGTCCGTCGACTGACCTCCTGCCTGTCATTTGGGGTCTTCTAGGTCATGTCTGTGTTTGGTTGTTCTTTTTTTAATTAAATAATTTAATTATTTAAATGTTTAGTTAGTTATTTAAGGTTTAAATGAGGTTTATTTATGTTAATTATGGACCCTTATATAAAGACTTAGCATAATTAAACTAGATCTAACTCCGATATTACCCAAAATCCATTTTCTCTTCCTTCTTTGGTTTTTCTCTCTACTAAAGAAAATCCATAGAATACCAAGCAAATAAGTGTTCTAGATATTAAAAATATCATGCTTTCTCCATAAAACATCATCAATTATTAGGGTATGGTATTCCTTTCACCTTTTGGATGTCTTAGTTCTAAGGGTTTCTCCAAATTGGTTTCAAAATGTTTAGTTCTATGTGGGTTTCTTTCAAAAATGAAATTGATATTGTAAATTCATTTGTTTATGATTACATTAGGTTATTGGTATTATAATAACATGTATTATGAGTCAGTTATACTACTTCTTGATGCATTGACCTAGTTTGTGGAAAGACGACCTTTTCCTCTTAACCCTAGGGTATGATCTTGAATTAAATTGTATAGTACTTATATAATTGGTTTTGTTAATGTGTGAATTACTATTCCATGTGTTATTATTCCAATTATGAGTATATTGTTATGTATCCTGATCCAAGTATGCTAATACTTTATGAATTGACCTAGGTTGTGAGGTAGATTATGAATTTGACAATATTTAATTCTAGGCTAGGGACTAGAGATGAATTGTTGTGTAGTGATTCTATTGAATTTATTGTGACTATGGTTACTGTTGGTGATAATATTACACCCTTTGTTGGGTTGAATTGGATTGTTTATGGTAACACCTTGATAATGACATTGTGAAGGAGATTGGGTAAGTCTTGTGATCTCAACTCTTTACTTCAATTATGATTTCTTGTGATTAAGTAATAAATTTGTATTAATGTAAATGTTAATATTGATCGTTTATGTATGATTTCAAATTGGAATGTCTTGAATTATGGTTTGTGAGTTTTTGGCTAAGATGTAAATGTTATAAGGATGGTGATAGCTTAACATTGTGCCTTATTATGATGTGACTATGTAACTTTTCTAACCTCACATGTATGAATTGTAATGAAAGGACAATACCCATGAAATGATTATTGAGATATAATGATGATTATATAAGGGTTAAACCCTATGGCCTACATTAAGCTATGATGATTAATAAATGCATTAAAGACATTTCAAAAGGGACTCTAGATTACAACAGAGTAAAATAGAGTGAGGAGTGTCCCTTCCAACATAGGGAAGGTAGTATCACTAATATACTGATGAGATTGGATACTATAATGCATATAGCATACGGAAGGTCCCAACTACATCATCTATTTCTTTCACTATGTTTCCAACATAAAAATACTAGCTAGTGGATTCACATAGATAATATGTTCATATTTTTGTACTACCTTGGCAAGTAGTCCACCTTCTTGTGTTGTAGGGTTTCATGACACTGGATTCCATATTATCTCAGGTTGTCTATGTCGGTAAAGGCAACATGTTCCCCAAAGGTAAAACAAAGTAATGATGTGAACTCTAACTAGGATGACCTAAGGGGTTAGCTTAGTCTAGGTAGGGTTATAGGAATCTACCTATACATTGCACTAGTTGGCCTTGAAGGAAGTCTTAGAATGATCTTCTTATGCATGTATATTCATATTAATGTAAATGTTATATATATGATAGTCTTACACGTTAATGACTCTATATAATATTTGTTTCAATAATGAACATGTATTTGAACTTAACTTTTAAAGTATGACGTCATAAACTTTTAATGATATGCTATGTGAAGTTTGACATAGGTAATGTTTCTTGATTAGGTTTACTTAATTTTGAAAGATTATGGGGCTTTGCTTAATAATTTCTCTAGTGGACATAATGAGGGTTCCTGAGTAATGGTCTTGTTATGGTTATGATGTTATGAACTCTAATCATGCTTGTTTATGTTATGATTTTATGATAGAGTTGTCTTGATTATGTTATTAATTATGTTGATATCCATGTTGACTTAACTAGACTTCGTATTTTTTTTCTTGTAATGTGAATTGTATTAATTTAATGAATATGTAAAATGAAATTGTATCAATTCTTGTATATGCATAAAACTTTTCAAAGTAAGTTACCATGCTTTAATGAAATTTCCCCTTTTATCGTGATTTTATGTTGTGTGTGTATATGGTATCATACTTATTAAAAGTGATGTGCTAACACTATTTTCACCCTTTCCCCCAACATTTTAGTTTCTGATCATCAAACATCTTGTGACAACTTTTGAAGGGACTCTTTGATTCTCATTCTCCTAGTTGGCTAGGTCCTCATTACTTCAAGGGCAATGCCACTTTCTTGCATTGGATATTGATTAGTCATAAAGATACAATGTTCATTTCCTTCCATTATAGTGGTAAATATTGTATAGCCTATATGTGGATCTTATTGGATTGATGTATGGGCTATGCCAAATTGTTATACTCTTGTTTAGACGGTTATGAGATTAGACATCAATTTAAGACTATAACATATCTTTTTTATATTTCTATATATTTTATTGTGTGTATGTGTGTGTGTGTGGGTAAGAAGTAGAAGACTATATAATATTCTTATATGAAGAATGTATGTACACTCGATACGAATATATATTATGTGTGTGCAAGAGGTCTATGTAAACCTCATGATAGATAGAAGATGTGTGTGCAAGAGGTCTATGTAAACCTCATGATTGATAGAAGAAAAGTTTTACACTTGCTATATTTCTAGCATATGAATGTAATGATGAATGCTAAAAGTCTAGTCATAGTCCTCGATGAGGACAACTACACGAGATATGTCTAGGGGGTGCTCCCTGGATGTGACCAACTTGCTGTCAAAACATGAAGTTGAATATCTATAAAGTCGATTTCTCACTTAACAACGTCTATGTAGAATCTTAGTCTCAACTGTTATGAGCTCCACACTTATGAAAAGGAAACTATATGATGCTTAGAAATTCTCCTTTTCTTGGAAATCCAATATCGTGCCTCGAGAGTCTTGACTCTATGTGCCCTTAGCATCTAATCCTTTTATTGTGATTATAGGCAATGAATACTTGAAGAACAACCGCTTGATGACTTTATTAAGAGATTGCAAAAGCTAGAGTTTCTCTCCGAGGCAATCAAGTCCCTGATCTTGCAGAATGTATTAATGATGATCAAGCTCCGATCAAGCATCCACCTTTAACTGATGGGGACATTAGGGCATCCATTCCTCAGTTGCCCAAATCATTACTACTGAAGCACAAGTTGTAACTAATCAAGCACAAGCCATGACTACCCAAGACAATCGGTAGGGTGTATCCCGAGGAAACCAACATGTTTGCACCTTGGCGTCCCGTTTGAGGGATTTCACAAGGATGAATCCCCTTAATTTCTATAGGTTAAAATTTGAGGATAACCCCCAAGATTTCATTAATGAAACCTACACGATTCTCTATGCTATGAGGTTTAGTACTAGCGAGAAGGACGAGTTAACCACCTAACAACTCATACATATGGCCCAAACTTTGTACGTTAAATAGAGAGACGGGCCCTTAAGGGGTGGAGCGGTGACATAGGAGATTTTCAAACAAGGATATTCATTATGAGTGTTTTCCTCGGGAGAATAGGGAAACACAATTCGAAGAATTCATCATCCTTCTTCAAGTAAGTATGAGTGTTCTA